TAATTGAGGTACTGACAACCATGGGGAATGGACCTCCAAAACCAGTCCAGATTCCCGGTGGAGGAGATTTCAGCAAATTCAACTTCAATAATAAACGGATAAACTGGGAGCAAATAAACCAGGACTTCACAGAAATAAACTGGGAAGAACAGCTAGGAAATGCAAACTTGAACCAGTGCCTGGAAAAAATAAGCTCAGTAGCACTAGAAATATGTTCAAACCGCATACCCCTAAGAAAAAAGAGAAAGAGATGCAGATTGGAACGGGAACGTCGTTCCTTATATAGGCGAAGAAAACGAATCGCGGAACAACTTGAGAGTCGCACCCTATCTCAAGAACGGCGAAGAAGGTTAGGTAGAGAAATAGAAACAATTGAACTCAAGCTACAAGAATTATACAAAACCCAGGAGAGGCAAAGAGAGCAAAAGGCCATCAGTGAAATAGAGAGAAATCCGAAATATTTTTTCTCCTATGCAAAATCAAGATCAAAAACCACATCTAGTATCGGGCCCCTGCGAAAGGGAGATGGAACTTTCACAGATGACAACAAAGAAATGAGCGAGTTACTGAGGAAGCAGTACGACTCTGTTTTCAGTGAGCCATTAAATGCACTAAAGATTGATAACCCAAATGAATTTTTCATGGATATGATACCAACATCAAATCACATATCAGACGTCGCCCTATCCCCACTAGATTTTGAAGAAGCCATAAACAGTATGCCTATGCACTCTGCACCAGGCCCGGATTCTTGGAACTCCATATTCATCAAGAACTGTAAAAAACCACTATCGCAGGCCCTTCACATTCTGTGGAGACAAAGCCTAGATACTGGCGTTATCCCTGACATACTAAAAACAGCAGAGATAGCACCACTCCATAAAGGAGGAAATAAGGCAGAGGCAAAAAATTACAGACCGATAGCACTAACATCGCACATCATAAAAATTTTTGAGAGAGTGCTAAGAAGTAAGATCACAAAATACATGGAATCACAGCATCTCCATAACCCCGGACAACATGGTTTCAGAACAGGGCGCTCTTGCCTGTCGCAGTTGCTGGACCACTATGATATGGCATTAGATGCTATGGAAGACAAACAAAATGCTGATGTAATTTACACAGATTTCGCAAAAGCTTTTGATAAATGTGACCATGGTGTTATTGCACATAAAATGCGTTCAAAAGGAATTACCGGGAAAATAGGCAGATGGATCTACAATTTCCTGACTGACAGAACCCAATGTGTAATAGTCAACAAAATAAAATCCAGCCCATCAACCGTGAAGAGCTCAGTCCCCCAGGGTACTGTGCTTGCTCCAGTACTTTTTCTCATCCTCATATCGGACATAGACCAGAACACAACCTATAGCACTGTATCATCCTTTGCAGATGACACTAGGATTTTCATGAGAGTTGGCAACATAGAGGACATGGCAAACCTCCAATCAGATGTAGATCAGGTCTTTCTATGGGCTACAGAAAATAATATGGTATTCAACGAGGATAAGTTTCAGCTCATGCGCTACGGAAAAATTGAAAACATAAAAACAGGAACCACGTACAAAACGCAGGCAAATCATAACATAGAACGAAAAGGCAATGTAAAGGACCTGGGTGTACTCATGTCGGAAGACCTTACCTTTAAAGAACACAATAAAGTAGCCGTCACAACTGCAAGAAAAATGACAGGTTGGATAACAAGAACTTTTCACACTAGAGATGCTATACCGATGATGATACTTTTCAAAACGCTTGTGCTATCTAGAGTGGAGTACTGCTGCACAATGACAGCCCCTTTCAAAGCTGGAGAAATTGCTGACCTAGAGAGCGTGCAGAGATCCTTTACTGCTAGAATCCACTCAGTAAAACATCTAAATTACTGGGACCGACTAAAGAGCCTAAATCTGTACTCCCTTGAGCGCAGGCGGGAGAGATACATAATAATTTACACGTGGAAAATAATTGAGGGGCTGGTCCCAAACCTGCACACAGAAATAACACCACATGAGACCAGAAGACATGGCAGGATGTGCAGAATACCCCCGTTGAAAAGCAGAGGTGCAACAGGTACTCTGAGAGAGAACTCTATCAACATCAGAGGCCCGAGACTGTTCAACACGCTTCCACTACACATAAGGGGCATAACTGGCAAACCCCTCACAGTGTTCAAGAGAGAACTGGATAAGCACCTCCAAAGGATACCTGATCAACCAGGCTGTGACTCATACGTCAGGCTGCGAGCAGCCGTGTCTAACAGCCTGGTTGATCAGTCCAGCAACCAGGAGGCCTGGTCGACGATCGGGCCGCGGGGACACTAAGCCCCGGAAGCACCTCAAGGTAGCCTCAAGGTAAGGTAAGGTGGCCCATGGCAGGTCAGTGTGGATCTTAGAGCCTGCATTGGGATGGCTGCCAGCTAATCCGGTCCAGGCCCTGGCTCCAGGCTAATCTGTCCCCGGGGCCAGACTCATGGAATTAAATTTTTATAGAAATGCAAGGTGCCAGTAGAGCAAGCACTCAGTATAGTGTGGAGAAAGAGCTTGGACATGGGGCAGATACCAGATGTGCTTAAAGCAGCAGACATAGTCCCTCTACACAAGGGAGGGAGCAAAGCATTGGCAAAGAATTATAGACCAGTTGCACTAACGTCCCACATAATAAAAGTATTTGAGAGAGTGATCAGTAGTCAGGTCACTAGATTCATGGAAACCAATGACTCCCACAACCCAGGCCAACATGAATTTAGAGCGGGAAGATCATGCCTCTCACAGCTACTTGACCATTACGACAAAATCACCGAGGCATTAGAAGATAAACAGAATGCAGATGTGGTATCCACGGACTTTGCAAAGGTATTCGATAAAGGTGACTATGAAGTGATAGCACACAAAATGAGGTCAGTGGGAATAACTGGTAAAGTAGGACGCTGGATACTCGGTTTTCTGTCGAACAGAACACAAAGAGTAACTGTCTGCCATATAAAATGGAGTCCAAGCGCAGTTAAAAGCTCTGTACCTCAGTGTACAGTCCTTGAACCACTGCTTTTCCTTATTCTCATATCAGATATAGACTCAAATACAAGTCACAGCTTCATATCATCCTTTGCAGATGACACAAAATTCAGTATAAAAATTACCCCTGTTGATGACATTGAAAAACTACAAGCAGATATTAATAAAGGTTTCAACTGGGCAGCAGACAATAACATGATGTTTAACAGTGATAAATTCCAGGTACTCAGGTACGGTAAAAATGAGGACCTTAAACATAATACAGGGTACAAAACACAGTCAAATCTACCCATAGTATGAAAACAGCATGTAAAGGATTTGGGAATACTGTAATGATGTCTGACGACCTAACATTTAGGGAGCATAACCAAGCAAATATTGCGTCAGCTAGAAAAATGATAGGATGGATTACAAGAACTTTCAAATCAAGGGATCCCAACACAATGGTTGTACTCTTCAAATCACTTGTGCTGTCCCGTATTGAATACTGCCCAGTACTCACTTCCCCCTTCAGAGCAGGAGAAATGGCTGAAATAAAGGGAATACAGATAACATATACGGCATACATAAATGCAATAAAGCACCTAAATTATTGGGATCATCTCAAAGCTCTCCAAATGTACTCACTAGAAAGGAGATGAGAGAGATATCAAATATTATATACGCGGAAAATACTGGAGGGCAAAGTCCCAAATCTACACAGTAAAATAACAACACACTGGAGTGAATGATATCGAGGAAAATGCAGAATAGAACCAGTGAAGAGCAGAGGTGCCATAGGTACAATCAGGGAACACTGCATAAACATCAGAGGTCCACAGTTGTTCAACATCCTCCCAGCAAGCATGAGAAATATTGCCGGAACACCCGTGGACATCTGGAGAAAATTAGATAGTTTTCTTCAAGGAGTGTCGGACCAACCGGGCTGTGGTGGATATGTGGGCCTGCGAGCCGCTCCAAGCAACAGCCTGGTGAACCAAACTCTCTTGGGGAGAAGAACAACTCCCAGAACCCCATCAAGCAGGTATTGTACCTGGATGGGGTTTTGGGAGTTGTTCTACTACTGTTAGACAGCTTGGTCCAACAGGCTGTTGCCTGGAACAGCCTGCAGGCCCACATATCTACTACAGCCTGGTTGATCCAGCACTTCTGGCAGAAAAGTGTTCAGTTTTTCCTTGAGAACTTCCACCTCTGATGTTCATACAATGTTCTCTGATTGTGCCTATGGCACCTCTGCTCTTCGACATTTATATTCTGCATTTCCTTCCATATCGTTGACTACAATATGTTGTTATTTTACTGTGTAAATTTATAAGCACCAAAGAGCTACTGAAAGGTGGCCCTTTCCAGAAGAGCTAAGCACTATCAAGCACAGATTAATTTTAAATTTGGGAAATTCTGACCACTACCATGTAAAACTACAGTGTGATGTAGCTAAAACTCTAGGAATTGTCAAACTACATTTTTTTCATAATTTAACACTTAACCCTTGCATTAAACAAGGGTTACACGGGTTATCATTGTGCCCAGAAAAATAGTATCCGAAGTAAGGTTTTTGTATTCCTCTATTGTTAAATCCTTACACTGAACACAGGAACAATGTGCCAAAATGGTCACTTTTTTAACATGACAATATATTAAAAAGAAAAATTAACATTTTTTGTAACATGTTGACATAACGTAACATGACAGATGTTTACTGGAGGCTTCAAATACCAATTGGGAACACTGTGTACCAAGAGGACTTTCAATTGTTGCAAAGTGTCTAAAACATCACATGTAATGAGTACCTCCAGTCCAACATCACACGATGTTATGCTCAGTGCAAGGGTTAATGTTACCGAACATGCCTGTTAGCAATGAGCGAGTACCGCCTATGTGCATACATTATTTAATTCCATGATGAAAGTTCAAAATCAATAAATAATATTGTTGCTCAGAGAAAATAAATACATCCTATTACTGTAATTATATTACAGCTAACCTTACCTGTGTGTGTTCGAACGTGTTTCTGGAGATCACCGGAGGTTTTGAAACATTTTCCACACTGTTCTTCTGGACACTGGTAGGGTTTCTCTCCAGTGTGAGTGCGTAAATGAGACTTGAGCGCATATCCAGTTGTAAAACATTTTTTGCACACATCGCAAGCGTGCGGCCGCTGACCGGTGTGGTTTCGTTGGTGAGTCTAATTAGCAAATGTAATTCAATTTTAATTAATGAAAAATGAATGATTTAATGGCGGCTTTGTTAGTCATATTTATCATTTTTGTAAAATATTTTATAAATCAAATATGTATAAATCCTGAAATCCTCATCATTTCTCCCCTGTTGTTCCTTCACTATAGTCAAGCATTGAGAGTAAAGAAATACTGTATAGTACTTGTTTTGGGTGGCATTGTCTACAGCCGGGGATACCGAGGGCCGTAGGATTGGGAGCCGGGCGAGATTACAGGGCAAGGTCGCCAGGCACAACATCGGTGGCCATAGTAAAATAAAAAAAACAAGCCAATGACCCCAGACTGAAACACAAGACTAAGGTAAGACAATACAGAGGTACCACAGTCTCGTACACAAGACAAGACTGTCCCGGGAACACAAGACTGAGGTAATAATACAGAAGTACCACAGTCTCGTACACAAGACAAGACTGTCCCGGGAACACAAGACTGAGAGGCATGACCACTACCCCACCAGTCTCCATGGGAATGGACAGGGTAGGAGAAGATGGATGAATCAATACGATTCGTACACCCATAATGGGGGACAGGTGGTAACCGAGAATCCAAAGGAGCCACAGAGACATGAATAAGAACTTGTCCAAAGGCAGTAAGTAAAGGGAATGCCAGAGGCAGTGACGAGGTGAAGGCTGCAAACATAGAAACACATGACACATGTCACACAAAAGTGAACAACAGTCACCAGTAAGAATAAGAGCGCATTAACTAAATGAAAAACTCTCTAAAAAAGCAGGAAAACAAATGATAAACATTCAGCCGCCCGGCTGCCACATGCAATGAGTGGATAACAACAAACTGCAGCTATGGGATGATACATCACATCCGGAGCACCGCCCTAGCAGCCAGTTGTGGCAACTCAAACTATAGAGCAAAATTCTTGCCAAAAATATAAACAACGAAACTGCTGCTCTGAAAGAAGGGAAGAGCAGTTACGGGAAGTTAGAAGAAGGGAAGAAGGGTTACGAAAAGCACCGGAAAATAACTTACAATAATTGTATGACGAACCAAATGAAAAAGTTGTTATATTAATAGTTTTTTTCCCCCAGGACAAAACATCCAAGCAAAAGATGGATTCACCAGACGTGAGGGTGCATGAATCACGACGGCAAATATGGTAAAACTAATTCAAAAAAGGAAAGGGGAGGGAACAAAAACCCCATCCACTGCCCAGAAGGCACAAGGGCCCAAGCTGGGCCAAAAGGAGCCTAAACACTCCAAGAGGACTCCCCTTGAGCCCTAGAAACCCCCGTCACAGGCCCCAGGGCAGAGTCCTCTTCCACGCCCACCACCCCTGAAAAAAGGCAGCATCCAGAGAAAAAGCTTCCAAGAAGGAAATCTGCTGGGTTGACCCAGAAGCCTCGGTGAAAAAGCCGGACTCAACTATCTCTGTGCCCGAATCACCCCCAAAGAAGCCCGAGCCTCATCCAGAGCTAAACCCCATCCCAACTTCAAAAGCCTTAGATGTACGGGTGAACCATACCCACCTGGGAAGGAAGCAAGGGTGCAGAAGGAATCAAGTTCGAAGTAACTGGATAAGCACCTCCAAAGGATACCTGATCAACCAGGCTGTGACTCATACGTCAGGCTGCGAGCAGCCGCGTCCAACAGCCTGGTTGATCAGTCCGGCAACCAGGAGGCCTGGTCGACGACCGGGCCGCGGGGACGCTAAGTCCCGGAAGCACCTCAAGGTAACCTCCAGGTAAGGTAAGTAACCAATGCCCCCTCAAATCCTGGTCCCTAAAACCCAAGTGGGGCAGCTCTGCGACCTCCAGCTGGGCAACCTACTTGGCTCATTGCAGTAAGGAGAATCGAGCATGAAACACAGCTGCTGCTTGATCCTTGAGATCAACAGATAAGGTAAAGAACAAGCAGGGAACAAGGACCGCAAGACTCTGGGTCAGTGGTGTCCCGACCCAACAGGCAGCGTGACGGAGGCAGTAAGGATGATCATTTCCCTGAAGCAGGGGCAACGAACAACCTTCGACTTTACACAAGGTGAGAGCAGGTTCCGAAAAGGTAGCCATTGTACAACCGAGCCCACAGGGGTTTTCCAGGGCCCATAGGATGAATTAACGCTACAGGAAGCCCAGGAACCGGAGCAAGCTGAGCCGGTAGAACCCTGTCAGGTAGCAAGCAAACTGACCACCCATAGCAGTTATGAAACCTCGGGGGAAACAGAGTAGCACTACCAACACAACCTAGGCTTGCCTAATAAGAAGCTAAGCAGACCACCTCTGTCAAAAACAACGCAAAAATGCCAGTGAATGAAAAGAAAATGAAAGCAAAACCCCTCAAAGACACACACCACAAACAAACTGGCAGTCAGAGAGAAACATTGGCCGCTAGCTGTCGCAGCCGCGGTGTGCACCACCCAGCCAATAACACTCCCCTACCTGCGGCAAGACAAAGCTCAAGACCCTCTGACGTACCCCAAGGGCGAAAACATCATCATATAACGAAGTCTTCAAATGGGGGAGTGATTCCTGAACGCCCCAGGGGAAGATAACCCTGACACACAAGGGCAGTACTCACAGAGCACCTAGGGAAGGTCTCCCTAGGCACATGCTGCTCCTGTACACTAAGACACCTGGTCACCACACCAACACACAGCTGGAGCAGCCACGCAGGGCAAAATTCCAGAACAGGAACTTGAGGCCAGAGATGATTGATGTGACCACCAGCACATCAGTTCAGCAACTGGAGTGGTGGGCTGCGGTTCCCCCCCCCCCTCCCTGTAGGGAAGTATTGTAACGAGCAGAAGTAATTACCTAAGTGTAGTTACAGGATGAGAGCTACGCTCGTGGTGTCCCGTCTTCCCAACACTCTTTGTCATATAACGCTTTGAAACTATTGACGGTCTTGGCCTCCACCACCTTCTCACCTAACTTGTTCCAACCGTCTACCACTCTGTTTGCGAAAGTAAATTTTCTTATATTTCTTCGGCATCTGTGTTTAGCTAGTGTTAGTCGCATGAAGCGTTGCTTCTTTGGTTTCTTTCTAGAGGAGTTATTTTGGTCTTTTGGGATGTAGATTGCACAGGTTAACCAGACAGTGGTCTTTTTTGATTCGCCTACCTTTCTGGGTCCTTTCCTGTTCGATGGCAATTATGATATACTTTAAATGTAAAGTGCTCATAAGCCATTGCTTCCTGCGCCTCTCTAAGGGGACCAGGTTCTGGCTCGTGGTCCCCGGTAGGCATAAGAACTCCCGTGACTGATGACCCCAAACTTATACAGCACATAAAAGTTCAGATAGTTTTAATGAGCTGACGGGGCTCTTCACAGAAATGCACGAGAAAGCTGCAAAACAGGACGGAAATGACATCCACCCCCAATGCAAGCTGCAGCGACTCCGCCAACGCCACACGATAAGAAGAAACAGTATTCGGCATGAGCTGCCAATTTAGAAAAAGCCAAGAAAGGACAAAACAACTTTGTCCGACACAAGTTGAAACCCCACAAAAGTAAGAAAATGGAGGAAAGCCCACCAAGAAACCATATACAGTTGCTGAGAAGAAGACCGCAGGTGGGATACTATCAAAGAAGCCACCTGATCACCATACGAATGGTGATACACACGTCAGAAAGACCAGACGCATATTGCGGAGGAGAAAGTCGAACCAGCGAGGTACCTCACCAGCCTAACCTGCTGAAAGAGCCAGAGAGCCAGAAATGCCCATGTTCAGTCACCGAGCAAGCAGCGCCTGAAACCATAGCTGGCCCGGCCACCAATGGGCCAGGAAAATCACCCTCCCTCGATAGGATCTGAGCCAAGCTAAAACCCGGAGCAACAGCTGGACCGGTGGGTATAGGTACAGGAATCCCCCACCTTGACCAGTCCTGCTGAAAAGAGTCCACTGCAAGGGCCTCGTAGTCGATGAATGGCACCACATACAAAGGAAGACGCCAAGACCATGCCGATGGGAAGAGGTCCACATCTGGGGATCCAAACATCTTGCAGAGCCGAAGGAGGCAAGCAGCATAGCTGGTCCACACTGTGGAGACAGGATGGAATCCATGGCAAGGACGTTGGACACACCCTAGACATGAATGACACGGAGAGCTAAACTCCAAAAAACCAGAAGAAGAGTTATACGTAGTATCCAGCTCCAAAGAGACGGGGAGCAAAGTAAACCCCCAATAAAGACAGTGAATCACAGGAGAACCGTCTAAGTAGAACCGGATAACGGAGCCCCAAGAAATCCGAGACCTCTACAGTGCATGCCACAGGGCTGCAAACTCCCGCAGAGTACCATGCACCCAATGAAGGAGGGAAGGCCAATGCCCCTGACCAGTCTGATGATCACAGGTGACAAAGCCCCAACTGAGAGCTGAGGCATCTGTAAAAGGATTGAGCACAGGTGGAGGAAGGCACCAAGAGACCAAACCCTGAAAAGCCCAAGGAGGAAGGAGGCGATGCAGGAGCCGATGCATGCCCAAACGGAGTTTTACCTTGGGCTCTGAGAGAATGTGCATTTGGGCTCAACATTCCAATTCAATTGATTTTTCAGTCATTTTTGCGTTCAGAACTCTTGGCAAACATATGGAAAAAGGCTAACATAGTTCCAATCAACGAAAACAGAAGCTGGGAAGAGTATCTTAATTATAAACATGTATCACTGACAAGTGTAGTAGTAAAAACATTAGAAAAAATTATTAAGCCCAAATGCTTAGAACACCTGGAGAGAAATTGTTTAATAACACAGACAGTATTGTTTTTGAACAGAAAGAGCCTGTGTAACAAATCTGGTTAGTTTCTATAAGAGTGTCACAGATTTTACAAGGTGATGGGTGGGTTGACTCCAGTTATCTAAACCTGAAAAAGGCTTTCAACAGTCCCACATATGAAGTTGTTCTGGAGACTGGAACATACTTGAGGGGTGACGAGACCTATGACATGGATGAAAATTTTCCGACACAAAAATGAGGGCATTAATCAGAGGCAATGTATCAGACTGGAGAAATGTTACAAGTGAAGTTCCACAGGGTTCAATTCTAGCACCAGTAATGTTCATTGTACATATAAACAATAATGTTCATTGTACATATAAACAATAATGTTCATTGTACATATAAACAATCTACCAGAAGGAATACAGAATTACTGGTTATGAACGTGTTTGGTGATAATGCTTAAGCTGCTAAGATAAGAATCTTAGATGATTATTATGACCCTCAAGAAGACCCGGACAAAATAAGTGGATGAAGCAACACCTGGCAAACAGAATTTAATGTGAATAAATGCCATATTATGGAATGTGGAATAGGAGAAAATAAGCCAAACACACAACCTACAAATTATAAGAAAAGCTTTAAAGAATTCTGATGAAGAAAGCCTTCTAGAGGTGGCTTTGGATAGAAAACTGTTACCTGAGGACGTAAAAACATTATGCAAGGACCATATGCTACACTTGCCAACTGTAGAATCACTTCCAAAATACAGTACTTGGATGGTGAAATATTGAAGAAATTGTTCATGACCTCTGTAAGACCAAAGTTGAAATCTGCAGCAGTTACATGGTGCTCATATCTCGAGAAGTACATCAGTAAACTGGAAAAGATAGACATGCAACTAAATGGCTTCCCAAATTTAAAAACAAGAGTTGAGAGGAGAGGTTACTGGTATTAAATATACCAAAGTGAGAAGATAAAAGAAAAAGAGGTGATATCACTACGTACAAAATAGTAACAAGACTCGACAAAACTGACATCGAATAATGTTTCAAAATTGCAACTTCAAGCACAAAAGGGCATAGGTTCAAACTAAGGAAACTATGCCAAAAAATTAGAAAGTTCACTGTTGCAAACAGTTGGAACAAGTTAAGCGAGGTGGTGGTGGAGGCCAAAACCATGGAACACCACGAGCGCAGCTCTCATCCTGTAACTACACTTAGGTAATTACTATATGCACACACTACTTACATGCACACACAGTATATGTGCACACCCACTATATGACTTATGCCAGGTAAGTCATATAGTGTGTACTAAATCCTTATACAATAAGACCAAGTCATACAAGGCCACACGTACCTTCAGGTGATGTAAAGAAGAATAGGACTTCTCACAGTCTGGGAAGCAACAGAGGAATTTGCCACTGTTGTTGGGAAGAGGCTGGTCCTGGTCATCAGACACGGCTTGCAACAAAGTATCACCGTACAGGTACCCAATTCTGCCGTCATCCAACTGAATGGCAACTCCTTCCATATCATCTATAAGAGATTTAATATATGCTGAAATTTCATGTATGAGGTGCCATCTCGTAATTAAAATGAACTTGAACATGGAGATAAGTTAAGAGATTCAAGTCAAATGTGCAGTTTGTTTAGGTATTGTTCACAGAGGCAAACTTAAAACTAGATTAGATGTGTCGATCAAACTACGATTCCCAAGATAATTATTGATGGGTGATATCACCGACTACAGGGAAGTGAAATCTTGCACTTTCTGTGGAGAGCCCCTTCGGCCCCTGGAGCTATACTGGGCTGAGGTGCATATATTAGTCCGTGGCAACAGTCAACTGATGGAGTTATAGGCCTACCTATAGGAGCCGGTCGGCCGAGCGGACAGCACGCTGGACTTGTGATCCTGTGGTCCCGGGTTTGATCCCGGGCGCCGGCGAGAAACAATGGGCAGAGTTTTTTTCACCCTATGCCCCTGTTACCTAGCAGTAAAATAGGTACCTGGGTGTTAGTCAGCTGTCACGGGCTGCTTCCTGGGGGTGGAGGCCTGGTCGAGGACCGGGCCGCGGGGACACTAAAGCCCCGAAATCATCTCAAGATAACCTCAAGATAACCTAACCAGGAACCAGAGCCAGAACCTGGCCCCCATCAGAGAGGATCGAGGAGCAATGGTCTATAGACACCCCCTTGTAATTGGAAGCATTCTATGTCTGCCATCCACCAGGTCAGGTACCCAGAAAGGTAGGAATTCCAAAAAAAAAACTACAGCTGGTTAAAAATTGCAAACCAAAAGCCGAACTAGCAAACAGAACTCCTCAAATAAAAACAAGCAAACAAGCATAAAGTCACCACAGCCACTGCACCGCTGTCTGCACAACTTCCCCCTCCCCGGGAGGGGGAAGGGGAGGTCCCAGACCTCCCGCACCAGCTACCCAAGCCCAGTACACAGGCTGTTGTGCTTGGTGGCGGTCGATCGACTCTGGTTCCGTTCTTTTGAGCAGTGTTGTCCATAGCGGTGTTGTTCTTCTGAGTGGTGGTGCGTGAGCCAGGAGTAACACAAAAGTACTAGGGCTGCATGCGCCTTGGGTTACCTTCCCTAGGTGCCCTGTAAGTACTGTACTGCCCTTGGGGTTTAAGGTTATCTTCCTTAGGCCGTTCGGGAGACTACCTCCATTCAGTTCTTTTGCTGCTCGGTTATTGCCCGCCCTTGGGGTTTAGCTGGGGTTGCTCTTACTCCTGTTTGACCTTGGGTAGGAGGTAGTATTGTTGCTGGCTGGGACACAAGGTACTCTGCAGCTGTCTGATGCATGCATAGCGACCGGTTCTGTTCCCCCTGGAGACTTTGTGCTTTTGCGGGGTTTTTCTTGTTTGTTTTGTTTTGTTTTGCCTGGCAGGGATCTGCCTGGTGTGGCTGTAGGACCATTTGTACGATATTGGTGGCTCTCCGCTAGGTCCCCGTGATTGCACATGAAGCAGGGGTTCAGTTTTTAGTTTGCTTGCTTGGTGGCTCTGGGATAACTGGTTAGCAGTACCTTGCCTGCGCTTCCCTTAGCAGTCAGCCTAAGGGTCCTGGAAACTCCCATTGGGGCTCATTGGTCTAATGGAGGAGACCTCTGAGTCTCTGCTCTGTCCCCTTGTCTCAGAGTGACATTCACTGACTTTGCCTCCGCCATGCTGCCTGTTGAGTCAATGACACCTTTGACTCGAAGTACTACAAGTGGTGTTCCTTGCTTCTACTCCAATTCACCAAGTCCACTGATATTGATATTCAGGTGCAAGCAACTTCAGCGTTGCATGTGTGATTTAGGTTGCTGCAACGCGCAAAGTTGGTTGCCTTTCTGGATGCCTCGTAGCTACCCCACTTTGGTAATAGGGACCCGGACTTGGGGGTGTTAGTCACCTATTAGACAGGGGCATTAGTCTATGGCATTCAGCCTATCAGGGGGGTGACGGTAGGCTGAATGGTTCAGAACCTGGCCCCCCTCAGAGAGGTTTCAGGGAGCAATGGCCCTGGAGAACCCCCCTGTGGTTGGGGGGGATGTTCCTTATCTGCCATCGACCGGTTAGGCACCCAGAAGGGTAGGCATAACAAAACAAACTCCCACAGTGTAAGAAAAATACAACTAAAAACCGAAAAGAGAGGCAGAACACCTTCCAATCCCAAGGAAACAAGTAAACGTCACACTCTATCGCCATGCTGCTCATTTACGCAGCCCTTCCTCCCCGAGAGGGGAAAGGTGGTGCTCCAGAACTCCCAGCGCCAGCTACATAGCACTCTAGTTCGGTAGCTAAGCATCAAACAATGCGAAAATCCGCCGACCAGAGGGACGGAGGGTTGCCAGGAAGCAGCATACCCAAAGACAAGGAAAATAGGGTCTTAACAGGAGGTGGCCGCTACATACTCCTCAATGTGAAGTCAAGACAACTGGCTGCAACCTGCGACCCAAAGCAAAACAGAAACGCCCATGGTAGAAACATTAATCAAATAACGGGCGGCCAGGACCATGTTCGACCTCATAAATTCCCGCACCCTGTATAATAACCCTGTAGACGACCTGGGAGACCCCAGCCTTGGAACAGGGAACATGGGAAACCGGATCAACCCAAAGTGCATCCCAAGCCAAAGTGTGCAGATAATGGCAAAGAGCTACAACAGGATACAACACATGATGCTCCCCCTACCTGACCAGCCAAGCATCAATGACCCAAGGACCCCTCCAGAAAGCGGCTGTCTTGTTCTTTTGCAAAAATGAAGGAGAAGGCTGCAACCGAACAAACCAACCACCAGGACCGAAGGAGCAGAACCCCCCCCCCCCCCAAGAAACAGAGGCGGCGCATGAGCAGGCCGGAGGTGAAACAAAGCATAAGAAAACTTACGGAATGGGGCAGAAGAGACATCCACCCCAAATGCATCCCAGATTCACACACCGAGCAAGCAGCGTCTGGAACCAAGACTGGGCTGGCCACCAAGGGGCCATGAGAACTACTTTCCCTTGGTAGGACTCCAACCAAACCAGAACCCAAAGCAACAGGTGGACCGGGGTAAAGAGGTACAAGGAACCCCCACCTCGACTAGTCCTCCTGAAAGGTGTCACCGCGATAGCCTCACAGTTGGGGAAGGGTGCCACATAGATTGGGAGACACCAAAACTACACTGACGCAAAGAGGTCCACGTCTGGTAGTCCGTACATCCGGCAGAGCCAACAGAAGGAGTCGGTATTAACCGTCCATTCCGTGGACAGGGAAATGAAACGTACCGTCCGCCTCAACGTTGGACACCCCCAAAAATGAACCACATGGAAAACTAAACCCCGAGAAGCCAGCAGACGAGCCACTCGAAGCAACCAGCCCCAAAGAGGCAAGGACCATATCAAACCCCCGCAGTTCAGGCAATGAACCACCAGAGAACAGTCCGAATGGAGCGGGATGGTCGAACCCTGAGCTACCCGAACTCTCCAGAGCCAAACCCCAGCAAACTCCCGCACTGAACTCTGAGCCCGACAGAAGGATGGACCCCATCACCCCTGGCCGGCCTGGTGAGCACTGGTCACAAAGCCCCAGCTGAGAGACGACGCGTCCATAATCATATCAAGTGAGGGCTCGGGTAGGTGCCACGGCACTGAACCCAAAAAATCTAGAAGAAGAAGCTGGCGATGTAGCAACCGATGCAAGACCCCCGGAGTATGAACTCTAGGGTATGATCGTGAGAGAAGCAGAATGGGTATCCCCGAAGGAACCAAAAGAGACGCCGAAGTCAAACCCAAACCAGCGGGTAGACCAGCACTGCGAAGCTCAAACTCCTGCACAACTGCTCGAGCAACCGCCGAGTAATTACCTAAGTGTAGTTACAGCATGAGAGCTACGCTCGTGGTGTCCCGTCTCCCCAGCACTCTTTGTCGTATAACACTTGAAACTACTGATGGTTTTGGCCCCCACCACCTGCTAACTTAACTTGTTCCAACCGTCCACCACTCTGTTTGCGAAAGTGAGTTTTCTTAAGTTTCTTCGGCATCTTTGTTTAGTTAGTTTAAATCTATGACCTCTTGTTCTTGAAGTTCCAGGTCTCAGGAAATCTTCCCTATCAATTGCTGTTACTATTTTGTATGTAGTGATCATATCACCTCTTTTTCTTCTGTCTTCTAGTTTTGGCATATTTAATGCCTCTAACTTCTCCTCGTAGCTCTTGCCCTTCAGTTCTGGGAGCCACTTTGTGGCATGTCGTTGCACCTTTTCCAGTTTGTTGATGTGCTTCTTAAGATATGGGCACCCCACAACCGCTGCATATTCTAGCTTTGGCCTAACAAATGTTGTGAACAATTTCTTTAGTATTTCGCCATCCATGTATTTAGAAGCAATTCTGAAGTTAGAAAGCATAGCATAGGCTCCTCGCACAACATTCTTTATGTGGTCCTCAGGTGATAGTTTTCTATCGAGAACCACCCCTAGATCTCTTTCTTTATCACAAGTATTTAAAGATTTCTCACATAATTTATAGGTTGTGTGGGGACTATGTTCTCCAATTCCACATTCCATAACATGGCATTTATTAATATTAAATTCCATTTGCCAAGTGGTGGTCCATATACTTATTTTATCCAGGTCTTCTTGAAGGGCATGACAATCTTCTAGGTGTCTTATCTTCCCTATTATCTTAGCATCATCAGCAAACATATTCATATAATTCTGTATTTCATCAGGTAGATTGTTTATGTAGACAATAAAGATTACCGGTGCAAGAACTGAACTTTATGGTACTCCACTTGTGACATTCCTTCAGTCCGATACATTGCCTCTGATTACGGCCCTCATTTTTCTATCAGTTAAAAAGTTTTTCATCCATGTTAGAAGCTTACCTGTCACCCCTCCAATATGTTCCAGTTTCCAGAACAACCTCTTATGTGGAACTCTGTCAAAAAGCATTTGTTAGGTCCAGATAGATGCAGTCAACCCAACCATCTCTTTCCTGTAAAATCTCTGTGGCTCAATCATAGAAACCGAGTAAATTCGTTACACAGGATCTTCCAGATCGAAAACCATACTGTCTGTCTGATATTATATCGTTTTTCTCCAGGTGTTCTACCCATTTAATTTTAATTATTTTTTCCAATATTTTGACTATTACACTTGTCAATGATACAGGTCTATAATTGTGAGGGGTCTTCCCTGCTGCCACTTTTGTAAATATAACTAACATAACTATGTTAGCCTTTTTCTACATGTCTGCTACGACTCCTGTACACAGGGATGCCTGAAAGATCAGGTGAAGTGGAATGCTGAGCTCAGGTGCACATTCTCTCAGAACCCATGGTGAAACTCCATCTGGGCCAGCTGCTTTGTTCTTCCCGAGCTCCTTTAGGATATTTTCCACTTCATCTCTAGACACCTCTATACGCTCTATGTTGTTCTCTGGAATTCTAATTGTGTCTGGTTCTCTGAAGATTTCATTTTGTACAAACACACTTTGGAACTTTTCATTTAATGTTTCACACATTTCCTTTTCATTTTCCGTGAATCTGTTTCCCATTTTCAACCTCCGGATATTATCCCTTACCTGCAATTTGTTGTTTATGAATTTGTAAAATAGGCCTGGTTCTGTTTTACATTTGTCTGCTATCCCTTTTTCAAAATTTCTTCTTGCCTCTCTCCTTACTGCCGTGTAGTTTTTTCTCGCATCTTTGTATCGCTGGTATGTTTGGGGATTTGGCCTCTTCCTATACTGGAACCATTTTTGTGTCTTTTGGTCTCTGGCCCTCTCGCAATTTCTGTTGACCCAATCCTGTTTTCTGACCCTGCATTTCTGTTTAGGTATGAATGTTTATGTGCCTTCATCGTATATTTTGCAAAATTTAGCATACATTTCATTTACTTTCCTGCCTAGCAATAAGTCTGTCCAATTACACTCATTAGAAATTTTTGAAGTTCCCCATAGTGTCCTCTCTTGAAATCGAGTTTATCAACTCTTTCAATGTCCCCATTTTCTTCTAGATGATATCTTAAAGCATATTTAATGTCTAACAGGACGTAATCACTCTTTCCCAAGGGAGGAAGGTACTGGATGTCAAATATCTCTTCTACTTTCCTGGTGAATACTAGATCCAGTAATGACGGTACATCTCCTTCCCTCATTCTTGTGGCCTGCTTTATGTAATTACCTAAGTGTAATTACATAAGAGTAGTTACAGGAAGAGAGCTACGCTCGTGGTGTCCCGTCTTCCCAGCACTCTTTTTTCATATAACGCTTTGAAACTACTGATGGTCTTGGCCTCCACCACCTTCTCACCTAACTTGTTCCAACCGTCTACCACTCTGTTTGCGAAAGTGAATTTTCTTATATTTCTTCGGCACCTGTGTTTAGCTAGTTTTAAATCTATGACCTCTTGTTCTTGAAGTTCCAGGTCTCAGGAAATCTTCCCTATCGATTTTATCAATTCCTGTTACTATTTTGTACGTAGTGATCATATCACCTCTTTTTCTTGTCTTCTAGTTTTGGCATATTTAATGCCTCTAACCTCTCCTCATAGCTCTTGCCCCTCAGTTCTGGGAGCCACTTAGTAGCATATTCTTTGCACCTTTTCCAGTTTGTTGATGTGCTTCTTAAGATATGGGTACCACACAACCGCTGCATATTCTAGCTTTGGCCTAACAAAAGTCGTGAACAATTTCTTTAGTATATCGCCATCCATGTACTTAAAAGCAATTCTGAAGTTAGAAAGCGCGGCATAGGCTCCTCGCACAACGTTCTTTATGTGGTCCTCAGGTGATAGTTTTCTATCTAGAACCACCCCTAGATCTCTTTCTTTATCAGAATTCTTTAAAGATTTCTCACATAATATATAGGTTGCATGGGGTCTATGGTCTCCTATTCCACATTCCATAACATGGCATTTATTAACATTAAATTCCATTTGTCAAATGGTGCTCCATATACTTATTTTGTCCAGGTCATCTTGAAGGGCATGACAATCATCTAAGTTTCTTATCCTTCCCATTATCTTAGCATCATGAGCAAACATGTTCATATAATTTTGTATACCAACTGGTAGATCATTTATGTAGACAATAAACATCACTGGTGCAAGAACTGAACCCTGTGGTACCCCACTTGTGACATTTCTCCTGGTTGATACCAGGTTGATGGGGTTCTGGGAGTTCTTCTACTCCCCAAGCCCGGCCCGAGGCCAGACTTGACTTGTGAGAGTTTGGTCCACCAGGCTGTTGCTTGGAGCAGCCCGCAGGCCCACATGCCCACCACTGCCCGGTTGGTCCGGCACTCCTTGAAGGAAACAATCTAGTTTCCTCTTGAAGATGTCCACAGTTCCTGTAATATTTCTGATGCTCGCTGGTAGGACGCTGAACAACCGTGGACCTCTAATGTTCATACAGTGTTCTCTGATTGTGCCCATGGCACCTCTGCTCTTCACTGGTTTTATTCTGCATTTTCTTCCATGTCGTTCACTCCAGTACGTTGTTATTTTACTGTGCAGGTTTGGGACCTGTCCCTCCAGTATTTTCCATGTGTATATTATTTGGTATCTCTCTCGTCTCCTTTCTAGTGTGTACATTTGGAGAGCTTTGAGACGATCCCAATAATTTAGGCGCTTTATCTCGTCTATGCGTGCCATATATGTTCTCTGTATTCCCTCAATTTCAGCAATCTCTCCTGCTTTGAAGGGGGAAGTGAGTACTGAGCAGTACTCAAGACGGGACAACACAAGTGATTTGAAGAGTACAACCATTGTGATGGGATCTCTGGACTTGAAGGTTCTCGTAATCCATCATATCATTTTTCTGGCTGACGCAATACTTGCTTGGTTATGCTCCCTAAACGTTAGGTCTTCGGACATCATTATTCCCAAATCCTTGACATGCTGTTTTCCTACTATGTCCGATACATTGCCTCCGATTACTACCCTCATTTTTCTATCAGTCAGGAAATTTTTCATCCATGTTAGAAGCTCACCTGTCACCCCTCAAATATTTTCCAGTTTCCAGAACAACCTCTTATGTGGAACTCTGTCAAAAGCCTTTTTTAGGTCCAGATAGATGCAGTCAACCCAACCATCTCTTTCCTGTAAAATCTCTGTGGCTCGATCATACAAACTAAGTAAATTCGATACACAGGATCTTCCAGATCGAAAACCATACTGTCTGTCTGATATTATATCATTTCTCTCCAGGTGTTCTACCCATTTAGTTTTGATTAGTTTTTCCAATACTTTCACTATTACACTTGTCAATGATACAGGTCTATAATTGAGGGGGTCTTCCCTGCTGCCACTTTTGTAGATTGGAACTATGTTAGCCTGTTTCCACACGTCTGCTACGACTCCTGTACACAGGGATGCCTGAAAGATCAGGTGAAGTGGAATGCTGAACGCAGATGCACATTCTCTCAGAACCCATGGTGAAACTCCACCTGGGCCAACTGCTTTATTCTTACTTAGCTCCTTTAGCATATTTTCCACTCATCTCTAGACACCTCTATGTGCTCTATGTTGTTCTGTGGAATTCTTATTGTGTCTGGTTCTCTGAAGACCTCATTTTGTACAAACACACTTTGGAACTTTTCGTTTAATGTTTCACACATTTCCTTTTCATTTTCCATGTATCTGTCCCCCATTTTTAACCTCTGAATATTATCCTTTACCTGCAGCTTACTTTTAACAAATTTATAGAAAAGGCCTGGATCTGATTTATATTTGTCTGCTATACCGTTCTCAAAGTCCCTCTTTGCCTCTCTCCTTACTGACGTGCAGTTGTTTCTTGCATCTTTGTATCGCTGGTATGTTTGGGGGTTTGGCCTCTTTCTATAATGATTCCATGCTTGTGTCTTTTGATCTCTGGCCTTCTCGTGATTTCTGTTGAACCAACCCTGTTTCCTAGGTCTGCATGTCTGTTTTGGTATGAATGTTTGTGTGCCTTCATCATATATTGTGCAAAAATGTGTTGATACAAGAATGTCTCCAGAACGAGGTTTACAAATTACAAGTGACTGGTAGCCTGTGCCACCCCCCCACCCTCCCAGTATAACCCCGACAACATAGTTAAGCACGGTCAGATTAATATTGCTACTGGGTATACATGACAGGGGCAACAAGTCCCTGTCACCAGTACAGCTTGGTAACAAGCCATTATTCTCTTGCTGTACAATATGCAGTACTGACTCCCTGAACAGTACTAGAACATAATAGAACAAAATGACTAAATTACTTTATAATAATTATACCTGGACGTGGAAAGTGTTCGAGAGTTCATCTACTCCCCGAGCCCGGTCTGGGGCCAGGCTCGACCTATAACCTCTATCAATAACCTGAATCCCATAGCAATAATAACTAGCCCTTGACTCAATATTGTACAGTACAGCATCAACATTTATATATATTGAACGTACAGAATATACAACTTTAAGGTACAATATACACAATGAGTCAATACCTTGAGCTTCGTCTGTTATGGCATTATGTACAATGGCTTGTGTTCCGTCTGGCAGCTCCAGAGTCACCGCTCCGCCGCCTTCCTCCACAACCACCACACCTGCACATAAACATAAACATGAGAATAAAGGACACCACAGGAGGCCCAGTGTCCCATACGAGGCAGCTCCTCTAAATACGAGGTAGCTCCTGTAACTTTCAAGATAAAAATACATTAATATTTCTCATAAATTTATTCAAATTATGCACAATTTTATCTAAATACCATAAAACATGCTGCCCTTAGATAATATCTAAAAGCGTACTGGGCAACAGCAAACAATGTGGACTGTAATAAATGGTTAGAAAGATAGCAGCAAATTATTAAATACAATACATACGCAGGATAATAAGTGAACAAGATAAACAATGTGAAGTCAAGGCAGAACACCATTCACACCTGCTGCAGCCAAGGAAAAATTCACAAAATGTGATAACTTCCAATTAATCTGTCCTGTTTGTCAGTGAATACAAACTGTATTCATTGAATAACAATAATAATGTATTCAGCTGAATGTCCTGTTTGTCAGTGAATACAAACTGTATTCATTGAATAACAATAATAATGTATTCAGCTGAATGTCCTGTTTGTCAGTAAATACAAACTGTATTCATTGAATAACAATAATAATGTATTCAGCTGAATAACAACTCTGACTAACAAATTTCTCTGAAACTGTACAAGGAATGATCAACAATTTACTGCAGAGTGCACTCGAAGAGTTTTTCGAGATTACAGCATAGTTTTCTTCCAGGTCTTCCAACCTTCAAGCCTTGAGAATTTCCATTTTTTTCCAAGAGACTGTCGAGAAAGCTGCAGGCTCTGCACCACCAGACAAAAGCAAGATGCCAGGCATGTCCAAGTCACCATGATAAACCTTCCAACCTCCCGGCACGGGAGGTCTGGATCTTCCCCTTCCCCCTCCAAGAATGGGGGGGGGGGGTAGCTGCATGGCGGCTGTGGTGACGTCGTGCTTGTTTTCTGATTGGGGAGTTCTGCCTGCTCATTCGGCTTTCGGTTTGCAATTTTTAACCAGCTGTAATTTGTTTGGGAATTCCTACAATTCTGGGTACCTGACCTGGTAGATGGCAGACAGACTGCTTCTAACCACATGGGAGTATCTATAGGCCATTACTCCTCGTGCCCCTCGGAGGGGGCCAGGTTCTGTGTAGTGGTCCCGGGGTAGGCCTCGAGCTCCATGATTGACTGTTGCCACGGTCTAATATATACAACTTGGGAAGCAAAGCTTGGAGGAAAGAAGGCCCCAAGACATGATGGACTTCATCACACAGAAGTGTAAGGTGGCAACAGACAAGTTCGTCCCAGTCCAAAAGAAAAAAATGAATTGCAGACAAGAAATCCATGCTTTAATCAGAGATGTAAGCTAGCAAAGCAACTAAGTACAAGGGCATGGAGAAACTATACGAATAATAGGACACTAGAGAGCAGAGAAAAATACCAGAGTGCCAGGAATGAATACATCAGGGTGAGAAGAGAGGCAGAAAGGCAATATGAAAATGACAAAGCAAGCAAGACAAGGACTCCTTCCTGCACAGCCACATCAGGAGGAAAACAACAGTGAAGGATAAGGTAATGAAACTGAGGATAGGGGCAGACAGATTCACTACAAACGATAAGTGTGTGAGGTACTCAATAAGAAATTCCAGGGGGTCTTCACATTAAAGCAAGGAGATGTTCCAGAGATAAGAGAGGGAATAGATAACCAGGCACCGCTAGAGGAGTTTAGGATTATCAGTGGGGAGGCAAGGAAGCTTTTGCAAGAGTTGGACGTGACAAAGGCTATAGGCCCGGAAGAAATCTCACCATGGATACTAAAGGAAGGAGTAGAAGCACTGAGCCTCTAACTCTCCATAGTGTATAACAAATCACTGGTAACAGGAGCTACCAAAAATTTGGAAGACTGCTAATGGAGTCCCAATATACAAAAAGGTGGATAGGCAGGGAGGCACTAAACTACAGGCCAGTGTCCCTAACTTGCATCCCATGCAAGTTGATGGAGATGATAGTGCAAAAAAAGCTAGTGGAACATCTGGAGCGAAAGAACTTTGTAACACAACATCAGCACGGGTTCAGGGATGGCAAGTTATGCCTCACAGGATTAGTTGAATTCTACGACCAGAGCATAAGTAACATCTACCCCGAACGCAAGCTGCAGCGGCTCCTCCAGCGCCTCATGATCGCCAAGAATCACATCAGACACAAAACGGAGGTGTGGATAGCTGGCGTAGCAGTCTATGGCTCTCCATCCCCGGGAGGGAGAAGGGGAAGCTGTGCAGACAGCGGCATGATGTAATGACGTCATGCCGCTGTCATGACATGTAGTACGTGCATAACGTAGCGACGTCATGCTCGTTTGCTCACTTTCATTTGGGGAGTCCTGTCCAACAGTTTGACTTTCAGTAGCAATCTTTTAACCAGAATAGGGGTTTGTTTTGGGGCGCTTACCTTTCTGGGTACCTGAACTGGTCGATGGCATAGAATGCTTCCAACCACACAGGGGTTTCACTAGGCCATTGCTCCTCGTACCTCTCTGAGAGGGTCAGGTGGTCCTCTCTGAAACATCTCGGGATGCTCGAGGTCCTAGTAGGCCTAGAACTCCATTCGCTTGACTGACGCCAAGGTCCAATACATTCATATCAGCCCGAATGGCTCCAGGGAGCCAAAGGGGCTCCTTCCAGAAAAAGCTTTTAATATAGAGTCTCACACAAGAGGCTGTTCTGGAAACTGGAACATGCTGGAGGGGTGACAGGGAGATTTCTGACATGGATGAAAAATTTTCTAACTGACAGACAGATGAGGGCAGTAATCAGAGACAACGTATCTAACTGGAGAAGTGTTACTAGCGGAGTACCACATGGTTCAGTTCTTGCACCAGTAAGGTTCATCGTCTACATAAATGATCTACCAGAAAGAATACAAAATTATGTGAACATGTTTGTGGATGATGCCAAGATACTGGGGAAGATAGGAGACACAGACAATTGTAATGCTCTTCAAATTGATGTATGTAGATAAAATAAGTGCTTGGAGTGTCAAGTGGCAAATGGAATTCAATGTGAATAAATGCCATGTTATGGAATGTGGAATTAGAGAAAATAGACCACACACACTTTACAAATTATGTGGAAAGGAATTACAGAACTCGAATAAAGAACGAGACCTCGGGGTGGTTTTGGATAGTAGGCTGTAGCCAGAACACACAAATAACATTGTGAGAGGAACGTATGCGTCACTTTCCAACTTCAAACTTGATTTTAATTATATGGATGGTAAAATACTAAAGAAACTGTTCATGACTTTTGTGAGACCAAAATTGGAATATGCAGCAGTTGTGTGGAGCCCAAATCTCAAGAAGCATAAAAACAAACTGGAAAAGGTGCAACAACATGCTACAAAATGGCTTCCAGCACTGAGAAACATGAGTCACGAGGAGAGACTAGAGGTGTTAAATATGCTAAAACTAAAAGATAGAAGATAAAGAGGTGATATGATCACCACTTACAAAATAATAACAGGAACCGACCATATTGACAAAGATAAATTCCTGAAACCAGCAACTTCACGAACAAGAGGACACAGATTCAAGCTAAGGAAACAGATGCCAAAAAACCATTAGAAAATTTTCTCTGAAAACAGAGTGGTAGCCAGTTGGAACAAACTAAGTGAGAAGGCGATGGAAGCCAAAACCATCAGTAATTTCAAAGCATTATACGACAAAGAGTACTGGGAAGACGAACACCACGAGCGTAGCTCTCATCCTGTAACTACACTTAGGTAATTACACACAGACACTGTATATACATATACACACACATACTGTACATACACACATACTGTATACCATATTTTATTTATTTATTTATTTATTTATTTATTTATTTATTTATTTATACAAGAGTTAAAAGAAAATATAATTATCTGTGAGTAAAAGGGAGAAGGAAATGGCCAGAAAAGCTGAGAATGAGATCTCTTTCAGATACAGACATTCTGCCAGATGAACAGAAAGGTTTAGTGTATGTTATGAGAAGAATGTGGCTTACTCGCATGCTCGGAGCCGTCATCCATAAACTCCACCACCTCCTCTTTTATGTGGTGGGACATGGTTACAATGGATCTGTTCATGTCACCTCTCCAAACTGCAAAGAAATAATTATTATAACACACACGTCAATGAACTTTGTTTTACCTATCTGTACAAAAGCAGCCACTATAGTATAGATTGTTTGTTATACCTCAGTACAAATGCAGCCACTATAGTATAGATTGTTTGTTATACCTCTGTGTACAAAAGCAGCCACCATAGTATAGATTGTTTGTTATACCTCAGTACAAATGCAGCCACCATAGTATAGATTGTTTGTTATACCTCTGTGTACAAATGCAGCCACCATAGTATAGAATGTTTGTTATACCTCAGTACAAATGCAGCCACCATAGTATAGATTGTTTGTTATACCTCAGTACAAATGCAGCCACCATAGTATAGAATGTTTGTTATACCTCAGTACAAATGCAGCCACCATAGTATAGAATGTTTGTTATACCTCAGTACAAATGCAGCCACCATAGTATAGATTGTTTGTTATACCTCAGTACAAAAGCAGCCACTATAGTATAGATTGTTTGTTATACCTCAGTACAAATGCAGCCACCATAGTATAGAATGTTTGTTTTACCTCTGTGTACAAAAGCAGCCACCATAATACTGAACGATAATTAACTACCACAGACCGAAATAACTATTTTAGCACTTTCTCACATGTCTTAATATTTACACTTAACTGTCATAACATGAAAAATGCATTAATTAGTAGATGTCTGCCTCATATGGGAACTATCATAAATAAAGTACTGTAGTAATATTGCAATACGACAAAGGTGAAGTGTTCTTTTTTCTAGAGACCATTCAAGCTCTTCAACCACAGACACACTAGCAGCCTGCCAACCTGAGGCTATTCCCACAGAATGTATCATTCCTTCCCCTCATCCACCCCAAGTGGGCTATGCAATTCCTGTTGCAGGCTGAGAGCTTTTCCTTCCCATGGCTCATGCTAAGCATTACCTTACAATTATGTTGACCAGACCACACACTAGAAGGTGAAGGGACGACGACATTTCGGTCCATCCTGGACCATTCTCAAGTCACAATCGACTTGAGAATGGTCCAGGACGGACCGAAACGTCGTCGTCCCTTCACCTTCTAGTGTGTGGTCTGGTCAACATACTTTAGCCATGTTATTGTGACTCATCGCCTGCATTACCTTACAAGTTTTCCCAAGAACATGCTCCATTAAACAGTTAACAACCAACCAACCCCCTAATTGTGGCTGGGTGAACAGGGGCAAACCGTTAAGGATTGATGAACAGGCAATCTCCTGACCAGGGCTCGAACCCAGATAAGATCGCAAATCAGTCACCTCTCTGTTATATTCCTGGTACTGTAACCTTGCATCCCACCTTTAGAGAGGCCGACCCAGATCCTTCTGAGCAGGCCGACCTAGATCCCTTCGAGGAGGCTGACTAGGAGCCCTCTGAGGAGGAGGTCGACCAGGATCCTTCCGAGGAGGAGGCCGACGAGGATCCCTTCGAGGAAGAGGCCGACCCAGATCCCTCCGAGGAGGAAGCCGACCAGGATCCCTCCGAGGAGGAAGCTGACCAGGATCCCTACAAGGAGGAGGAGGAGGCCGACCAGGAGCCCTCCGAGGAGGAGGCCGACCAGGATCCCTCCGAGGAGGAGGCCAACCAAGATCCCTCCAAGGAGGAGGCCGACCAGGATCCCTCTGAGGAGAAGGCCAACCAAGATCCCATTCCTGATAAGGTCGAAGCAGAACCCGACCAACCCTGTCGGCCGAGCGGACAGCACGCTGGACTTGTGATCCTGTGGTCCTGGGTTCGATCCCAGGCGCCGGCGAGAAACAATGGGCAGAGTTTCTTTCACCCTATGCCCCTGTTACCTAGCAGTAAAATAGGTACCTGGGTGTTAGTCAGCTGTCACGGGCTGCTTCCTGGGGGTGGAGGCCTGGTCGAGGACCGGCCGCAGGGACACCAAAAAGCCCCGAAATCATCTCAAGATAACCCTCCTCCAGTGTGTTATACTCTGATTAATTCGCCTCTGCTGAGGCAGAGCCAGCCTCCGAGGTAGAGTCATCCTCAGAGGAAGAGCCAGCCTCTGAGGCAGAGTTTGCTGCTCTGGCCGACCCCAACACCTCCAGGCTACAAGCACAACCATCATGCTGCCCATCCCTGCAGCCAAGCACTTACAAATCGTTGGAAGAGGAGTTTCAAAATTTTACAAAATGCAGTACTCGCAAAGTCAGCATTGGCATTGAGGGGGACAAGCCCAGTAACTTTGTCCTCATAACGAATCTTCCATAAAACATTAATGCAGCAATTGTAAGAATACCAATATTAGTTGGCCCACCCTCCACTGATCCACACCCAAACACCCCTAGAGCTACAAAATATAACTGTTGTCCCATATAACAACTGCTACAATAATTAATTTTGTTGGGAACAGGCAGCTTGTGTGTGTATGTGTATATACCTACCTACCCAGTAAGTGTAATTACCCAAGTGTAGTTACAAGATGACAGCTATATTCATGATGTCTCGTCTTCCCAATACTCTGTCATATAACGCTTTGAAACTACTGACAGTTTTGGCCTCCACCACCTTCTCACTTAACTTGTTAAAACCGTCTACCACTCTGTTTGCAAAAGAAAACTTTCTATTATTTCTTCGGCAGCTATCTTTAGTTATTTTAAACCTATGACCTCTTGTTCTTGAAGTACCAGATCTCAAGAATTCTTCCGTATCAATTTTGTCGAATCCCATTACAATTTTGTACAAAGTGTAGGGGCGGCCCCACGTTTCTGTGGGGAGCCCCTTCGGCTCCCTGAAGCTATCCGAATTGATATAGTGCTATATTAGTTTGGGGTCATCAATCACAGAAAGGAGTCCTTTTGCCTACCAGGGACCACGAGCCAAAACCTGGCCCCCTCAGAGGGAGCAATGGCCTGAGAGCACTTTACATTTAAAGTATGTCCTAATAATTGGCATCGACCGGGAAAGGCATCCAGAAAGATAGGAGAAGCAAAACAGACCATAATCTGGTGAAAATTGTGACCTATTTCCAATAAGAACAAAACAACTCCCCCCAGAAAGAAAACAAACAACACTTCATCCAACTAGCACCCCTGTTCGTTGGTGCTACACCCCCCTCCCATCCCATCCCATAGGGGAGAGGGGAAGCCAGTAGTCCACCACCTCTGGCCTCAAGTTCCCGTTCTGGATTTTTGTCCTGTGTGGCTGTTCCAGCTGTGTGTGGTGTGGTGGCCAGGTGTCTTAGTGTACAGGAACAGCATGTGCCTAGGGTGATCTTCCCTAGGTGTTCCGTGAGGACTGGCCTTACGTGTTAGGGTATCTTCCCTGGGGTGTTTGGGAATCACTCCCCATTTGAGGACTTCCGTTACATGATGTTGTCTTTGCCTTTGGGGTACGTTGGGGGTCTTGGGCTTTCCGTCTTGCCCCGGGTAGGAAAGTGTTGTTGGATGGGAGGGGCGCACTGCGGCTGGCACAGCTAGCTTTACTTTAACGCTGCAGCCGATGTTTCTCTCTGACTGCCAGTCTGTTTGTTGTGTGTCTTCGGAGGTTTTGGTTTTCTTTTCTGACATTTTTGCCTTTTGTGTATGGAGGAGGTCTGCCTAGCTTCTTATTAGGCTAGCCTAGGTTGTGATGCTGGTCCCCCTCTGTTGCTCCCGAGACTTCACAGCTGCTACTGGTGGTCAGTTTGCCTGCTATCTGACAAGGTTCTACCGGCTAAGCTGGCCCATAGGGCTTATTTACCCTACAGGCCCTGGAAAACTCATGTGGGCTCGGTGGTAACATGGATACTTCTTTTGAGTCCACTCTCGCCTTGTGTGAAGTTGAAGGTTGTTCATCGCCCCTGCCTCAGGGAGATGATCATCCATACTGCTTCCGTCATTCTGCCTGTTGGATCGGGGACACTTACGACCCAGAGTCTGGTGGGACTTGTTCCCTGCTTGTACTGCAATTTACTCATTCCTTTTCTGTTGATATCAGGGATCATGCAGCAACTGTGTTGCATGCTCGATTCTCCTTAATGCAACAGGCCTGGTTGCTTGCCCAGTTGGAGGTCCCGGAGCTGACCCGCATGGGTTTTAGGGACCAGGATTTGGAGGTGTTGGTCACTTCAACCTTTGTTCCGTCTGCTTCTCTGCTTCCTTCCCAGGAGGGCGTGGTTTGTCCCTGCTTCTGGCTCCCAAGCGTCTGAGGGTTTTGGAGTCGGGACGGGATTTAGCTTGGGATGAGGCTCGGGTGGCTTCGGTGGCTGCCTTTTCCGATTCAGGCGCTGAGGTAGTTGAGCTCAATTTTCATGCGAGGCTTCTGGGTCGACCCAGCAGACTTCCTTCTTGGAAGCTTTTTCCCTGGACTCCACCTTTCTTCAGGGGTGGTGGGTGTGGAAGTGGGCTCTGGGTGGTGGGCATGGAAGTGGGAAGGAAGGGGTTGAAAACCCCTTCCTTCGGAGGGAGGGGCTCCTAGGCTCCTTGGGAGCCGGTCGGCTGAGCGGACAGCACGCTGTACTTGTGATCCTGTGGTCCTGGGTTCGATCCCAGGCGCTGGCGAGAAACAATGGGCAGACTTTCTTTCACCCTATGCCCCTGTTACCTAGCAGTAAAATAGGTACCTGGGTGTTAGTCAGCTGTCACGGGCTGCTTCCTGGGGGTGGAGGCCTGGTCGAGGACCGGGCCACGGGGACACTAAAAAAAGCCCCGAAATCATCTAAAGATAACCTCAAGATGGTAAAAATGAGGACCTTAAACATAATACAGGGTATAAAACACAATCAAATGTACCCATAGTAGGAAAACAGCATGTAAAGGATTTGGGAATAATAATGTCTGACGACCTAACGTTTAGGGAACATAACCAAGCAAATATTGCGGCAGCCAGAAAAATGATAGGATGGATTACGAGAACTTTCAAATCCAGGGATCCCATCACAATGGTTGTACTCTTCAAGTCACTTGTGTTGTCCCGTCTTGAGTACTGCTCAGTACTCACTTCCCCCTTCAGAGCAGGAGAGATTGCTGAAATAGAGGGAATACAGAGAACATATACGGCACGCATAGATGCGATAAAGCACCTAAATATTGGGATCATCTCAAAGCCCTCCAAATGTACTCACTAGAAAGAAGACGAGAGAGACTAAATAATATACACCTGGAAGATACTGGAGGGCCAAGTACCAAATCTACACAATAAAATAACAACGTACTGGAGTGAACGATATGGAAGAAAATGCAGAATAGAACCAGTGAAGAGCAGGGGTGCCATAGGCACAATCAGAGAACACTGTATAAACATCAGAGATCCACGGTTGTTCAACACCCTCCCAGCAAGCATAAGAAATATTGCCGGAACAACCGTGGACATTTTCAAGAGGAAACTAGATTTATTCCTCCAAGGAGTGCCGGACCAACCGGGCTGTGGTTGGTATGTGGGCCTGCGGGCCGATCCAAGCAACAGCCTAGTGGACCAAACTCTCACAAGTCAAGCCTGGCCTCGGGCCGGGCTTAGGGAGTAGAAGAACTCCCAGAACCCCATCAACCAGGTATCAACCAGGTGTCCTACCTACGGTTTTCATCTCAGCGACAGTATGAAGTTTCTAGGCGGTCTTTTCACGATTTCCTTTCCCTTCATACGATTTCATCTATCGGTTAAGGTTGTCTTGTCCTTTCTCTCTTGGCTTTTACTGGATCGGCGTCTTATGCTAAATACTGTCGCTTCTCATTGTGCGGCGTTGACAGAGCCACTGCAGCTTGCGTTCGGGGTGGATGTCACTTCTGCTCCGTTCCGTAAGCTCTCTCATGCATTTTTTCACCTCTGGCCTGCTCATGCGCTGCCTGAGCCGTCTTGGTCTTTGGACTGGGTTCTTTCATTTCTTTCTTCAGTTTGTTGTGGCCCCTTCAGTTTGTGATTGCTTTGGGAAACCTTATTTTTGTTACCTTTAGCCTCTGGGGGTCAGGGCGGAGAGCTTCATGCTTTTCTCCAGTGCTGGGGAGAAGGGGTTCTGTTCGTTAGGTCATTGTGGTCGTTTTGTTCGTTTGCAGCCTTCTCTTCCATTTCTGGCAAAGAATGAGATGGCTGGGTTCCGAAGGGGTCCGTTGGTTGTGGAGGCTTGGTTGGTTAGGCCGCAGGTGCATCATGTGCTGTGTCCGGTGGTGGCTTTGGGTCGCTACCTGTAGGCCACTGGTTCAGTAACGTTGGACACGCTCTGAGTGGTTCCGGTTTCCATGGTTTCCTGTTCCAGGACTCGGAGTGTCTCAGGTTGTCCATGGTGTAATTAAGTCTAGCCAGCCTGCAGTCTACCCTCGAGCCCATGATGTGAGGAAGTATGATGTTCTTGCAGTTGTCTTTGGTAATATGTCATGGGTCGACATTCGAGCGCTGGGTTTTGGAGGTCAAACAGGGTCCTGGCCGCTAGATATCTCGTGAACACCCTGGGCCCTCTATGGCCTTGTGTTGCATTGGGGAGCCTGTCACAGCCAACAGTCTCTATTTCGCCTTGAAATTTGTGGTGCTGCTGCCTCTTGGGTAAGTCCCTGTTTTTTACTTATATGTGGATATGTAGCTTCAGGGAACCAACAGGGCTCCCCACAAAAAAACAGCTTTGAATATAATGAAACGGCATTTTCTGGGCAAGCCCCAGAGGTTCCCTGACACCCTCCCTCCGGTCTACATCATTCAAGAACTGGGGTGGTGGGCTGCTGGCTTCCTCTAATCCCTTTGTGAGGGTGAGGTGTAATTACCTAAGTGTAAT